TAAAAATGATGACTTCCAAGCATCTATGAATACTATTTATCTATTTGGCATATTCATAACGAGAGGTCAAATTTCCATCCAGTCTTTGTTTCCCATAGAGAGGACCACAAGATTTAGGCACCATTTTCCTGGCATTATTAGTAAGGCTGAGCCAAGATAATCTCAGCAATGGTTGCGAGGAAGAACAACCAACATAGAACATGCTTGGCTAAGCTTAAAGAAAAGTAAAATTTACTCATCTTATTTCATTTTTATTTATTTATTTATTTTGACAGATATGCAGCTATTTCAGAAGTCAGTTTTTTGAGTTACTTCAAAAACTTATTTCCAAAAGAGTACTTCCATTTTTATTTTCTTAACTTAGCCAAACACGCTCAATTAATCTAAATGATATTAGGTTCCACCTGAGTATGAAATAACAGTTCAGCTACACTAAAATTATAGATAATGTGGAATAAAGTAATCTGACAATATCTCCTATTCTGTTTCTAATCATTCCCCACTTACTCTATTTTTTCCCATTATGTAATAGCTGCTAAATTTTGTCAGCCTTGATCATAAATAATTAGTGTTTTTGCTTTTAGGAAACTAAAAAGGAAATATACAATTGTATGATTTGAGAGTAAAATGAAAGGTTTTATTTCGACTGTATATTCAAATTAGTGTTCTCATGCACTCTAATGATCTAGACCTTGATTGGTGGGGATTAAAATCAATTTTTTAGTAGATTTTGATAAAAGTTGTTGAAATGCATGGTTGAAAAGTAGTGAGTCTCGTAAAATGTGTGATTAAATTAGTTATTAACTTTGACTTAAATTAAAATCTGGATTTTAATTTGTACCTAATAGGAGCATAATCTCAGAGTGGTGCAATCATTGAATTATCAATAAGACAAAAAAATTTATTGAAACATCAGCCTTAATTATGTGATATCTATTAAGAAATTCTAGACAACGAAACCATAACTATTAACATTTCAGGCTCATGCTGTTTATACATCATGTAAAAGAAGTTTACTAATTAGTATTTACTCATGGAGACAAAAATTGAAGAGATCGATCTTTTTGGATATCAATTTGCTTTCTTTGCAAAATGTCTAAAAGATTTGCAAAAAAATCAAACCTTAACAGAAAATAACAAATACCAATATGGTAACTTACCGCCCAATCATAAGGCAATTTCATTTCACCAGTATCAAGCAGAATGGGCTTTGGACGTTGACAATCAACTTGTTCTTGGTTTGGTGTTTTTAGTAAGTTCCTTACCAGCCTCCAAAATGCATTCCCCTGGAGAGAGAGAGAGCATAAGTATGTTACTTTGCCAGATAATAGCACAGAGCTGTGATAATACAATATGCATCAAAAGGCAGTACCTTGACATCTCCTTGCTTAAAATCAAAAGCACCAGGTCCATCAGTTGTACCAGCAGCAAATGCAAACCCCATTGCAGCTGGACAAGTTTTCACAACCTCAGTACCTCCACCCTGTTTAGAAATTGTCACCTTAAGGTTGGAGAAGTTCAGGTACGTATGGCGATAATCGACCTTTCCCTTTAATTGCTCTGATGCTTTGTTGAAAAGTTCCACTGCTTTTTTGAATTGTCTATCACCAATGATACGTGTACTTTCAAATTCAT